ATATTATAATATTTGAATTCATTATATTCATATTATATATTTTTAATTATTAACAGCTTTGTATTTTTCGAATATTCTAATGTAAGTTTTTCTGTGATTTCTCTTATTTAGCAAACATATTTATGAAGCAAACATATTACATAAGATATGTCGAGTCTGTAGACAGAAGAAGTTCATACTTTGTTGTCATCTACATCAATTAAATAGCTTAATTTTAATTTTGGTTTAATTTACTTTATATTCTTTTCTAATTCTAGTAGAAAAAAATAAAAAAAAGTTACTCAAAATCGAAATTAATCTACATTAATAGACATTTATTCCTAGTTAATAATAAATTAATTTAAATCGGATTTTATCTTATTTTTTATCTTTTCTAAGAATTAGACAAAGATAAAGAATAAATCAACTTAAAATTAAAGTTAATCTACGTTGGTAAAAAATGTTCAGAAATAAATAACGGGCACACATTTCATTTTCAATGTTTTCTTTCCCTGATGGGCCCTGATGATACCATTTTACGTACGCTACTTCGAATCACTTGGCACTACTTTTGCGCGTGCGCAAAAAATGCGTCTCGTTCGCAACGACAGAGCCGCGCTGGTGTATTTACAAGGCTGCGGCCGCCGCGCCGCGGGGAGTTTGACGATCCTGCCGTAGTGGCGCGGCGATCGGTCCGCATACCGCGCATTCCGGCGTAATGCCCGAGCGCACGCGGGTGAGGGTGGGGGCGTAAGGCGGGTAGAGGCGCGGGTGAAAGAGGGCCGGAGTGGGGAGGGATGAGGACGAATAGCCGAGGCTGCCTGTCGTGTCAAACGGGCCGTGCCGCGCGCGCGCGTCCACCCGCCCGCATACCATTAGATTTTCGTGGTTTTCAATGGGTACGGGTAACCGGCCGCAGCACGACGCGCCGACGACGTGAAGTGCCGTACGATCTCGACATCGCGTTCATCCGAGTGTCAGAGCGCGCGGTGACGGCGAACTCCGGACCCCGGTGGGGCAAGAACGCAAGAAGTCAAGAATTGTCGCCGCGTGAAACTTGTGTATTTTTCGCAGGTGCGGCGCACAGTCGCGGGGCTACGCGGAGCGACGTCGGGGAGCGACGAGTCACGGGTGAGTAAAAAAAAAAGATCTAATACGTATATACGCGTGTAATAGTGCGCTCGCGCGCGCAATGCGACTGTCCCGCATGGACTGTCAAAATAAAAACGACGCGGCGGGAATAAACGATGTGCCGGCGCACGTCTTCTCCGAGGAATGCCGCACGTTTACGTGTCGTCGTTCTCTTTCCTTCTCGCCCTTTCTCTCTCTCTCTCTCGCGCGCGCGCGCGCGCGCATGTTTTCTCCTCTTTTTTTTACTCCTCCCTTTTTCTCATCTCTTTTTGCATTCTTCTACGCTACGCCGCATTCCTCTATTGATTCCCCGCGAACGTCGAGAGACGCGCCGCGCGGCGGTGGCGCCGACGGCGACGATCGCTCGGAGTAGCGATTCCGACCCGTCATCGTCTTCGTCGTCGACGGTTTTTACTTCGCAAACTTTGAACCATTGGCGATTCGGAGGCGATTCGAAAAAAACCGCCTCGTGCGTTCGCGGGGTGATTGGCCGTTTCCGAAAGAGAGAGAGAGAGAGAGGGGGGGGGGGGGGGAAAGACATATATACATCGAAAATTCTCACCGTCGCATTTGCTGATTTGCCAAAGGAATTTCGCAGCAAGTACATGATTTCCACCACATCGAGCGAATTCGTCTTTACGAAATTGTTTTCTGAAAAAGTCAATCGAGGACGACACTTCCAAAGAGTGTTGTTTCGCGTTTCGGAATTTCGCAGCGATTTTTGCGCTGAGAAATTCATTGTCGTTTATCACGATAATTTTCTGCAAATCCAAGTGTATAATCATACTATTAATAAGTATCTTTATATATGAATGTGATTTAGTTTCTCGTAAAGATAATACGATACTGCATAGAAAAATGAATTTATACATTCAAATTAGTATCAATTAAATCACATCAAGGTACTTATTATTATAGTAGGTATTATTATAGTATTATTACAGTACATTTCAATTTGCAGAATAGATCCCAGTTCTATAAATATAAAATTAACTTTAAACTTACAGTTTAACTTATCATTTCCTAATTCTAAGAATTCTTAGAGTAAACAGTATGTTTTTAATTCTTAGAATTAGAAAAAAGATAAATAGTAAGTCTTGTGTGCGTTTCTATCAATATAGGTTGACTTTAATCTCTAAATTATCCTTTATTCTTTTTTTTTAAAACTAGAAAAAGATGAAGAGTTAATTGAGTCGAGATTAGATTGGTAGAAACGGGCATAATTGTCTACATTATTTACAATTCGTGCTTCATCGTTTGCAGTTTTACACATGAATCACACAAATTGGCTGATTTTTACACAGACAGGAAAATGTACTAAATTTTAATAACTAATTATTTGAATAGCACTATAATATAATATTTATTTACAGAAAATAAATATTTACTAAACGATAAAAAGTCATAATTAAATCAATTTAATGATTTTTATAATAAATAAATAAATATATGTTTACATTTAGTAAATATTTAATTAGTAATTTAAACAAATATTAATTAAATGAGTAAGAAACAATGCCTATACCGATCGAAACTGGATTTTATTGTTAGTGTTTTAAATAATTTCATGTGAATTTATATATCACATTTTTGTAGTCTCTTGTACGCTGCTGAAATATTATACTTATTGAAATTTATAATATATTTTTCTCTCAATGCAATGGTTTGCATTAACAAATCGCTGAGCTTATAATAGAACTGCGAGGATGGTGAACAATAAGTGCGAACTCGACAAATCTGCTTATTCGCGCTATTTGCAAATATCATATGATTAACGAATCGTAAGTTATATAGTCTGGTGCTGACTTAAGAGAAACGAGAGAAACTCAGCGCGAAATACCCGCACATGCTCTCTATACGTATCATGAAATCCGAATTCTTTGGCGTTATGGAGATCGTGCGAAATATTGAAATTTTTTTAAATGGTCCTTAAAGAACGATGGTTGAAATTCCGCTGCGGAATTCTATTCGGCTCTTTGTCGGAATTGATTTTCGGATATGATTTTTGGATGCGCGATTTTTGCAAATGCAAGAATGATGACTAATGATTCGTGCACAATTTATTTACTGCATTCACTTTTCTTCTTACTTTTATCATCATTTTTTTAATTTTATCTCTCTGATATACATTTATATTAACGTAGATTAACTTTCTTCTCGGTTTAACTAACTGTCTTTAATTCTTAAAATTAGAAGGAAATAAAAAGTGAGTTAAACCAAGATTAAAATTAATCTACTTATTAGTAAAAATAAACATTACGCTTTTTGTGCAAGTGCACAAAATTTAGAAATTTAGAAACTAGAACGTGAAAGAATTGATGATAAGAGAGATCGAATCTGCGAAATTTTAATTGAAGATAAATGTTTCTTAACTAAAAATTACCTTCCTGCCGAGAAGGTAATTTTTAGAAGAAAACTCATAAAATCGGATCAGATATTTAAATAATTTATTTTTCTTATTTTTAACAACATTTGAAACAGGATATATTATATTCTATTTTTTTATTCTTCCTGAAATTGTGATTTTTGCAAGAACACAAAAATTTGAAAATTTAGAAAGCTTAGAAAATTATATCAAATGATTCATGAAAAGTTAAATTTATAGAATCCGGAATTTGTTTTTTTCTAAATGAAAGTAAACGTCTTTTTGAAATTGTGATTTTTGCAAGTATTTGCACACAAAATTTGGAAATTAAAAAGTGCACAGACGATATTTATAAGAGATTAAATCTACGGGAGCACACCGGGCTTTGTTCTCTTCTAAACGAAGGTAGATGTTTCTTGGCTACCTTTTCCTGTGCGAATGTTTTAGTAGAAAGTTTATCACAAAGGCGTATCGATATTTAATTAACTTCTTTGTTTTACTTTTATATTTAATAATATCTGGAATAAAATATATTTGTTTGTTATAACTTTCTTTCTTCTTTTTTAAAATTGCGACTTGTAAGTGCTCAAGATTTGGAAATTTAGAAAGTATGGACTACAGACGTGTTGATATTTATGACATTAAATCTGCGGAAATACATCGGACTTTGTTCTCTTCTTAATCAAGATAAATGTTCTTGCCTACCTTCTTTTGCGAATGAAATATCTGATCTGATTACATGATAAGTTTTAATGGAAAACTCTTCATGAAATCACATCAGAGACACAATATTTAAATAATAATTTTTTCTTTATTTTTAATAACATTTGGAATAAAATACATTCGCTTTTATTTATTCTTTCCTCTTTCTCGCTCTTTCCTAAAATTTCTTTTCGCAAGTACACAAAATTTAGAAATTTAGAAAGTGCAGCAGATATGATACATTTATATATGAAAGATTAAATATATGAAAGCGGACTTTGTCTCTCTAAATAAATGTTTTTTTTTTTTGGCTATCTTTCTGAGTTGAGTTTTAGCAAAAAATTTCTTATGAAGTATAAGATGTATTTAATTTTCTTTTCTTTTTTTAATTTTAAGTAATTAATCTCTTTGTTTCTTTTTTGAAATATACTAAATTATAATATTTCTTCACGCAAAAGCATTTTTATTTTTCCTTCATTTATCGCATATTTTTAATGTTCCTACGTTTCGGTAGAAATGCAACGTTTATATTACGGCAAATAGAAGAGAGACGATTAACTCGCTTGACGTTTCGTTCGCGCGTCGGCGCGTAAAAATTCTAAGGAACGCGCTCGCGTTTGGAATTCCATCGGGTTCGTCGAACTTTTCTCAAGTGCCGATCTTTGTTTAGGAAAAAGTTGTTGCAACGCAGTGGAATGTTGATTTGCAATAATCAAACAAACCTTTGTTCTTGAAAATTTTTTTGTTAGCATGCTTTCGCACGTTCCGTTCATTTCTGAAATTTTACCGTGCTTTTTTGTCCGTCATTCTGTCTGAATTCTTGTGATTCTTACGATTCACGCTGTCACATATGTACTGCGATGTTTTTCTTGAATGACAATCGATTTCAGTCACTTCGCGGATATCTATACGATACATCGCATCACTTTGTCATTGGACTTTTGCCTGTTTTCCCAGGAACCGTAAAGCATCACGTATTCATTATTCCTTTCTTTTTTGTGATAAAAAGCATTTGTACAAAATATAAAAATTAGTTTCACGTTTTATTATTGGCATATTTTATTAAAGATTTTATTGAGGTTAAATGTGAGCAAAATCAGAGAGACAGCTGAGACGAAAAATTTAAATATACAAGTAAACTTTATATAATTTTCATTCGAATTGATGTTTTTTTTATGAGTTCGTCAACGAGAACGTTCGACAAGAAATCTCGATTGGCGGTTTCGAGCTCTCGCGTTCTCGAGTAGTCGCGTGTAAATCGCCCGCATACCACGTGCTATTCAGTGCGTATATATGTATATGTTTGTGAATATACAGGGTGTACGAATTATTCGACGAATCGAAATCGCTTATTTTTTGGACGAAAACTTTCTCAGGAGTTTCTCTAGATGAAAACTTAATTTATGATTTTTAATATTCTGAACAATTAAATCTTTATTATCATGTTAATTTTTTTTAGAAACTCTATGTATGTACATTAACGTTACAATAGAAAAATATTTTACTGTTAAAAGAAATGATTGCTCAGCTTAATTTTTCTCTTTTTAAATTTTAAGTAACGGTTATCTTTAACAAAGAATATTTTCTTGATAATAGTCTTAAAATATACTTATATAACAAATTATACTTATAACAAATTAAAAAAAAATCATCATGTACTCAAAACAAAAATTTATTTTCTTTTGAAGAATATTTTACAAAATATGATTGAAGAAGCAGATTTATATAGTCAAATTGATTTTAATTTAATAATTTTGATTGAAGAATTAAATTTGGATTTAGAGAGAGAAAGAGAGAGAATATAGATTTTGAAATTTGATGCTTGTGATGAACTGATAGATTTGTGGATACATAAATTTTTAGGCTATTATTCAAAAATTTTACTTTATGCATAATCCGAAAATTCTTAAAATGCATTATTTGAAAATTGTATTGTATATTACATATAAAATTATTATTCTGATATTAATAACGTCATTTCAGCTTGGCTTCAGGAGTGTTTTTTTTTTTTATAAAGATAATAACTTCGGAACATCCTATATGCATTCGATTGAATCTGATTTGGTTAAATAATACATGGGAATCTGTCGATCGAGTGGTTAGATCGGCGTGCGTGACCTTAGTCAAAGGTGTAAAAATTTACTGTCCTTTCTATAAATCACACATCATTAATTCAACACATCATTAATTCTCGATAATCGAATTGAACATTCTAAATTTCCGTTGTAACTTTGATCTATATAAAAATTCAAATTTGTTTAAAATCAAACATCTAAAGTATTTAATCAGTTCCAATCTATTTGATTTTATCGAGATTTATTGTCTGCATCTTTCTAAGTTTTATATTTTTTAAAATATTTCTGATTGGATCATAATTTATTTCATTCATAATTTTTATATAAATTATAGGATAGTTCATAATAAAAGAGAAACGAAAAATAATATAAATATAAAGATAAATTTTTGTGGTTCTTTTATTTGGCAATTGAACAAAATTAAATGTATTTAAAATTGATTGAAATAGCAGAAGCTTCGTCGTTTTGTTAAAAGTCGATAAAAATTCAATAGAAAGATAAGGCACGTATTATACAAAATATTATATAACTATTCGGAATGGATTCCGATCGGAATTATTCCATTTTCTTTAGAAAATACAATAGAAATTTAGGGAATAATTGAACAATTTCAATTGGAATTCATTCCGAATAATTTCATGATACGTACTCAGATTCATTCTCGAATGGAAATGTGTCGAAATTGAGAAAGGTTTCTAAGTAAAAATATTCGTAAGTGGATTACAGTTGAATTTCACGTATACGATGTGTGTTGAAAGGATTACGCCTCTGAATTCCGACGCTTTTACAGCGATTTGTATTTACAAACGTTCGTCTTTTCTCGCGCAATGATGTAGCGCAACGACTCTGGCGTTCGCGATACACTTTATTCGGGCCGTCCTTTCGTTTAAATAGCACGCCGACTGACGACGGCCGTTATGATTCATAAAACGTTTACACTGCGCACCACTTGCGTAAAATTGAGAGGAAAAGGCACGGCCGAGGAATGGCGCACCTTTGTAAACCAGATTCATCCTTTCAATCTTATCTCTTTATCACTCAAGAAACTCGACAAATATAACGCGGAATCGGACAATATCTTCTCAGTCGAAAGATTTTCTTCAAAAAAATAAACTCGAAGAGTTTTAATGATAATTTAAATTAATAAAAGCAACTTAAATTTATAAAATTTAGACTTTTATATAAATATATATATATA